CCTGGAAAGTGATCAGATAGGTGCCGACAGATAAACAACAAGCCCGTGAGGAACCTCAGTTCCACCAGTCTACTTCTCCAGGAATCCAGTGGAGGCCATGAGCTCGTTCATCCCATGGGGGACGCCACCAGAAATGGAAGCAGGCGTGGATTGATGGAGGACTGTGGGGAGCACAGCCAATGGAAATTAAGGAACCAGAGAAAACACACAACAGCTGTCACCCAGGGAGGTTGTTGGCATAGCAATGGGAGGAGGGAGAGCCGAGTAAACCAATCAATAGAACAACAGTGAAAACAAGTGAGATCTGTCCAGCAATATGCTTGGGATTTACATATATCCCTTTCTGCTACCTACATTAAAACACACACACACACACACACACCAACAACATCAACATTGCAGGAAACAATCCAAACAGTGCGGGAGAATTTGGCTCCTCTAATAAACAAAACCCAAAGATTATCAGCAAAAAGACCAAAGGAAAAACACACTGGCCTACTTGTAGTTATCTTCCCATAAAAAGACAGTGTGCTTGATGTGTTGTGTTTTTTTTAGGCCAAAATTTATGTCATTTCTCAATACAAAGTACACAAAGTTCAGATTTGCGTCTTTGGTAGTTCGGACTTGGCAAGCTTGACTTGGGAGTCGGGAGTGTGAACTCCTGAGGACAGGAGGACGCAAGTCCGGTAATTCTGCAAATGGAACAGCTGTGTACTTGATAATGTCACTCTGACAGACCGTCATCTGGTACCAAGCCCAGGAAGGACAGGACTTCTCATTGGTCAAAATGCAGCTTCTGCCCTTCCCCCACCTAGAGAGTGATCCCTAGGTTTTGGCCTGAGACCACCATAAAAATTCCTTATATTCCATGTTAAACATGGAGGGCCTAACAAATAGCATATGTTACATATTACATTTATAGATTTCATACATATAGGTAGGGCTGAACGATTTTGGAAAATAATCTAATTGCGATTTTTTTTTTTACCAATATTGCGATTGCGATTTAATATGCAATTATTTTTGTAAAGCTCTTTATGTTCTGTATTATTCAACAAGGACAAGCTATAAATCATTGTATAGTATGACCACTATTAGATAGATTAAACATAAATGTTCTTTTATGTAGGCCAGTCCTATATGTTACAATGAAATTAGGTGATGCATGAATTGATATGAAAGATCATCAAGATGTTTTCTGGCAAAACGGAGATATCAGCTGTTTGGATTCTCATTCTGACGGCACCCATTCACTGCAGAGGATCCATTGGTGAGCAAGTGATGCAGGGGTCTACAGTGCGACCACTTCAGTCACATTTACGACTGAAAATTACTCTGAAAAAAAATATTTAGGTGCTCTGCTGCGACTGACCTAATCGAAGCTCATGAACCATTACATAAAATACAATCGGATATTAAATGCATATAGGATTACCAGTGAAAGTACAACATAAAATGTTAAATAGAGAATAGGATTTCAATAGAAAGTCAATTTTTGTTTTTCATTAACCCAACAGCCCAAGCACTGAAGTATGAAAAATTCATATATTGCAATGAGGACTAGGCCTGTCGCAATAATCAATATAGCGACTTATCGCGCAATATATGAACATGACCTCAATAAATTTCCATGATCCAAATATTCTTAAAAATGAAAAGTTTGTTGTCATTTGGAAGTGTGTAGGCCTTCTAGCATTATTATGCTGTTACATTATGATTATATATTCAGTGGCATAAAATGATCTTTAAAATGACAATAATATCGCTTATCGCAATTATTTCTGGGGCAATATATCGCACAGCAAAAAGTTGTTATCGTGACAGGCCTAATGAGGAGATGATCCTGGAGGACCTGCAGAGTTTAGCTCCAACTCTAATCAAACACACCTGAACCAGCTAACCAGTGTCTTCAGGTTTACACACTTGGGTTAGTACCGTGTATCGACGACGACATGTGGCTGATGCCTTTGACGATAGCAAGACGATTATCATCATCATCATCATTATTATTGGTATTATTATCAGGCTAGTATTATTTTCTAGATAATATTAGGGCTTATTTGTTCCATCATATTTTTTTCCCCGAGTTTTTACAGTGTTGCACGTTATAACCAATCTCAGTTTTAATAACTGAGGAACGCAAGCATTATAATTAGTAACTTACAATGTTTCTATTAAATTATGTTGTTAAATAGTCATATTAAAAATATTTTATGACATGACAACCATATGCTACTTGAGTAAAAAGAACAGATTACAGTAACATTAGGCTGCTTTTAGCCTCACCCTTGAGTTCACTCTCCGGCTATGAATCCAAGTAAGTAATTAAATAAATTAGCATGATAATATCGTGTATCTGCGATTTTAATTAAAAAAAATTTTTTTTTTTAAGTATAAAGACTGACTTTTTTTTGACTACAGTGCAATTAACTAAAGTAAATTAGGTAAATCTATCTTATCTTGCCATGAAGTCTCTGCACTTCAGTTATCATTCATTCAGTGAGTGTTGGACCTGTACAGTATCATACTCCAAGCACAAAACACTGAAAGATACACTGAAAAATAAAAGCTATAAAAACTGAAACACTGTAAGAGATACAGTAAATACATGCCTTATTGCTTACATATATAATATAACTGCTATCTATAGCTGTTAGCCATCAGTGGGTAAAATAATAATTTAGCTCGGTCAACATGGCCCAAGGAATTAATTTGGCCCACTTGTTGAAGAACAGCGTTGCACCAGAGCATCTGGACTCAAGTCACTTCTCTGATGGCTTTGCTGGTGCGGTGTTGTTTCTCTTACTTACAGTATTTTGGGAAACTGGGTTAGAAGCCCTTTTATGAACACATGCCCACTGATCAGCCCTGTTGCTTCTAAGGCAATACAGCCTCATCCATATAAACCTGATCCGAGGACCGAAGCTGGATCTTTCAGGGACACATTTCAGACAGAATCGAGATTTAACAACAAATAAACATCGCACGGTCTGAATTTAAAGTCCAAACGGGGCTGATCCTGAATCGTGGCAGTTAAACTCAGCTCTTCAGAGTGCTAAACAGCGGTTAACAGGTTCAAACAATCAAAACAAAGCGCTCAAAGCTTAAAACAACATGTACCCAATTTAATCGAATAGTTTGATTTTACAGCCGTTACGACAGGACTAGCCGGTGACGGTTAACGGTCTTCTACACATCCAGGCTTCAAGCGGTTAAGAGGAAAGAGATGATAATGATACCGTTACCTTCCTCCGTGTCTTTTCTCGACGAAACAGCTGTTTTTAAGTGTTATTATGTCTGGGTCGTCGGTTGTGTCGCGTTAGCCTGCCGTTAGCTCGCGCTAGAACTGATGAACTCGGCGACTTTATGAAACACATTCAAACACCAGAACTCAAGAATGAAGAGATATCGCCGCTCACCGTTCAAGAGGATCAAAATGTGCCGGATAAGAGCTGGAGACAGCCGGAGGACCTGTCGCTGGAGGGAGTGAGCGTGTGGCGGTCTGGCGGAGCTCTGGCAGCGGTGGGGCGTCCTCGCGCTGCGGAGGAGGAGCTCACGAGAGCTGGCAGCAGGGTTGCCAGGTTTGTATTACAATTTGACCAATTGCTACTCAAAACTAGCCCAAAGCTAGCCCAATCGTGTTCCGGGGGGGGGGGGGGTAACATACACGTTTTTGGCGGGGTTCAACTGGTAAAATTCGCATTCCAGGGACTAAATATCAAGTTATTGTGGTCGCTTCAACCCGCGGACATGAGAAACAACCCGTGGCAACAGTGTTAAAGTAACGCGATTACGCGGGAAAACCGCGGACCTGGCAACACTGGCTGACAGACACAGGCGAGTCAAACACGCGCAGCCTCTGGACAAGTGACGCTAGCACTTATCAGAAACAAAGTAGACTACAAATATAACAACATTTTTAGCAATGGTGTTGCTAAAACAATAAAATATAAAAAAAATGTCTTAACCCTAAAATGCAATATTTCCTCTATACACCAGTAGTTATCAAACGTGGGACAAAGGGCCTTAATAAAAAAAATAAAAGAGAGATTTTATATATATATATATATATATTATATATATAGTACTGTGCAAAAGTTTTTGGCCATTAGTATTTTCACCAAAAAAAAAAAAATTTGGTTTTATGCCAGTTATTTCTATCTTTTGCTGTAGTGTGTCTGTAGGAAATATCAGTTTACATGTTTTCCAAACATTTCTTTTGGCATTAATTGTAATAATGCAGTGAGATGTGTTTGCACAAGGAGTCTGAGAGCAGCCAGCGCTCCACACAGAGATCTGGTCTCACCATCATCCAGTCTGTCTGAGATTACATGAAGAAACTGACTAAATCCAGAAGAACTGTGGCAACGTCACAGACACACTACAGCAAAATAAATAAAAATAACTTAAAATGATTTTTTTTGTTGGTGAAAATACTAGTGGCCCAAGACTTTTGCACACTAGTGTATATATATATATATATATATACACTGTGTGTGTGTGTGTATATATATATATATAATTGACAGATTAAAATGCAAATTCTGCAACATTTTAAATTAATTTAAAAATATGCAAGAATATGAACATGTTTTACATTGGCTAGATATAATTACATTTAACCATGCAAGAAGCAAAAACATTTCATTTGTTGCAATTATAGTCTTAGATTTATATGGTTTAAAATAATTAACGTTCACTTTAACATTTAATTCCAACTCCGTTAGTCCACTACCTTGCAATAAAACAATATTTAAGAAACATTACTACAATCTTCTAGGAATTTAAAGCAGAGTGAAAACAACTGGGGAGTTTAAATGTCTGCATTTATTTCCTTGCATTTGGATTGTGTATATTTTTCAAAACTCATTATAGATTCCCAGGGGATCCCAACATAAGATGCAAACAATGGAAAAAAAAAGCAGATTGCAATACTTGTAAATCATAACTAGATTTTCAATGACTGGAAAGCAACAGGGCACATGTAAAAAAATATATAATACACAATACTGAGAAACAATCAATGGGCTGTCAGTCACTCACTAGCTGTACAGAGCAAGCTGAGAACAAAACACAAACCCTCCAAACACCTTTCAGCAGGATTTTATAAATACACAGACTTATAACAAATGTAGTTTGCGTATTTGAGGGTGAATGACACTCAGATTGGCCTGAAATAATATATCAGGCACAGTTTACTTGTTTAACAGTAATAGTCTAGGGGAAAACAAACAAACACAAAGCTAACACCACAGGGTGAGAACACTAAAAAGATCCCAGCTTTTCCTCTCGTTCTCTTTCTGACCATACAATACCCAGACCCGCACTGTATAAAAGAAAACCAACAGACAGATGTAAAAAGGCGGCAGAATCAATAACTTAAATTCACAATTACAATAACTTAAAGGCATCTAACGTCTTAATCAAAAACAATCTTGTAGACTTGAAAGCAACAGAAAAATTAATAGAACACAGCATCAGGTGGGGGGGAAGAAATATGCATACAAAAATTCAGTATGCAAGAGAATATTCTGTGCTTGTTTAATGTTGTTTAACCAGTGGAAACAAAGTTCACTGATTTGAAATGCAAGCAACATCAGCGGTGTCAAAAATGAGAGGGTTATCGGCAGAAAGCCTACAACTACAGTATTCACAACAGATCAAGTTCACAGAAAGTCTTTACTGTAAATGCAACAGTTTAGATCAGAAATAAAAAAGAACGTGAATTTAAGCAATTGGTTGGGTTATTTACAAGATTACATGCCTTTTTAGTACAAATATAGAAGTAAAATGCACATACTTTCAGATTAAAATATATTTTCATATTGTTATACTCGTATTTAACATTTTTTTCTTTAACCACAGCAAAACGCCATTTGGGTCCTTAAGATCTCCACCCAGAGCAAAGACGTGCCAAGAGAGTCCAAAATGATCACTTATGAATTAACATAAAATAATTATTTAGCACGAGAAGAATACAGAGAAAATTACATAATAAAACAATAACAAAATACCTCCTAAGTCTATTATAGGCACAGCTAAGTGCTACTGTGAAGCATTATATATTCCACAAAAAAAAACTATATAAAAACTTTTGTTTGCATCAGGTATTGTTAGCCTCAATTTTCATCAGTCTTTTCTAACCGGTGACTACTTTTAAACTGCTGACCACACCCATCACTCCAACATGCATGTGCCACAGAAACTGTCACATCAACGTTAGCTTGAATCATTTAAGGGTTTCCTCTCACAAAACAGGCACACGTAAGCATTTCTGCAGTTTCTAATCCCGACTTTAAGGGACTCTGTGTGCATTCAATTGAGTGTGAGCCATTTGTATGTTCCCTGGCGCCCTCAAGAGGATGAGGAGCAGAGTGCGATTTGCTGGACTGTTCCCAGGTCAGTCAGGAGCTGTCTGATGCGATGTTTCAGCTGAGGGAGGCGCGCCAGTGGATCTGGAGGTTCCAGCTCACCTGTGTAGTCTAGCCAACTCTCCAGCACTGCATTATGATATCGACATGTTAATACGAGCAAAGAAATTAAGTACATCCATCTGAAATTGTTTACTGTTTAAAGGTGCTGTATGTACGTTTTTGACTCTACTAAAGCATAAAAATACCATAATATGTTTGCAGAGATTTAAGAAACATGCTAAGGTAACATATTTGTTTATCTGAAAAACAATGCTACAGTCAGTTATTCTCCTTTGAAAATGTGCGTTCCGGGCCGGAATGTCGGTCTTTGTTTTGATTTGTGAAATCCGCCCACTGCCAGTTTACCCAATTGTATTTCGGCACCCCGGGTTGACAGTTGGCGGGAAACACGGCGTATTTTATTTCAGTCATAGAAGCTGGCAAACGAAAGTGTTGGTGTCGTCAATCTGGCAACCTGCGTGTGCATCAAGTCTGAGGAGGAGGGACCGGGTGAAAAGAACCCTCTCCAATATTTTGAATTTGGACTGCAATACCTAGTTCAATCACTCGGTGTCAATCCTACATACAGCACATTTAAATATTTTTAAACCATTTTTAATCTTATTGTAAAAGTCTCACCGTCTAGTTCTCGCTCAATAAGGTCCATTCTGTGCGTCACCTCGTCCTGCACTGCTTCAATGTGCTCCAGCAGGTTCAGCTGCCACTGCTGGTGCAGCACAAGGTCAGGGTCAGGCTTTGGGTCAAGGGTTACAGGGTCAGGCTCCTCTTCCTTGATTTCTACCACACAACTGTTTTCCTGCTCTGCGGAAACCAGTTGTTTCATACGGCACTCCAGCTCCTGTCAACAGAAACCAATGAGTCACATGTTTGGTGTGTAATGATGTTCTCACATTATTGGTGACGCTGCAACAGCACTGTGACAAATTTTTAACAGACTTTGAGCTAATTTGTCGAGAGATATCAAACAGATTTGAAACCAGATCTCAAACTGGTATGAAAACAGATTTCGAACCATTTTAAAATCACATTGAACTGTTTTGACGACAAACAGTTGGTTTGAAAACAGATAAATCAAATATTTAGAAAACAGACTTGACTTAAAAAACTGGTTTAACAAAAGACAAACTGACTTACAGATCTCAAACTGGTTTGAAAATAGATTATCAACCTGTATGAAAACAGATGTTTTGAAAACAAAACTAGTTTGACAAATACAGATTTGACAACAGTTCTCAAATGGTTTTGAAAATTCTCAAACTGGTTTGAAAATAGAGTATCAGCTGGTCTGAAAACAGATTTCAAACTGGTTTGAAAACAGATTGTGGAAATGTTCGTCAGGATCAGTTGGGCTTGTATTTGACACACCTAGTCGGTGATTGTGTACAGTGTGCACTAACAAAACAAAAAAAAACATAACTGAGTCCTTGAATTTTAGGCCAAGTGCACAATAAAAGTTGCTTGTAACTTACCTTACTAAAGGAGCGGTCGGCCAGTTGAAGCTTGTGCTGGTCGTGGTCCAGCGGTGTGCCGTACCTCTGCTCGGCCATCTCTAGTAGGTTCTCTGTGCTCCTAAGACTATCCTCTAGCTCAGAACCACACCGCGTCTCCACCACAAGTCTTCTCTCCACCGCTGGGTAGTACGTACGGGGCTTCTGGTAGCAGTGCTCGCTGCTAATGTACGAGTCCTGGAAAGAGCAATGCGTCTCCACAGGTGATGGGACTTCACTTTTCAATGTCTCAAACTCATTCGCTCCCATTTCAGGGGGTGAGGAGGGGAAGGGAGTAGCTATGCCCGAGTCACCTGCCATCTTCCTCCGTGGGCTGTCTGCAGGTTTCCAGGGCTGCCGCCAGAACTTCAGGTCTGGATGGGCTTGTGTCCTAAAAAGAGGGCAGCTTTGCTTCTTACCTCAATCTTTCACAATTTACTTTATTAGTCAAATAGTTGGGTGCATCAAGTACATTACAGCAGAGGAATTACTTACTGTAGGATGCTCATTTTGAGCTGAAGGCCGTTCAGGACTTCAAACACACGGTGGACATCCCCCAGGAGCTGATGGGCAGCTACCACTTTCTTACTGTTCTGGTGGGAGTAGTTCTCCTCCAGGAAAGACAAGCCATCCATGTGACCGCTGCTCAGCCAGTCTTTATCATACCAGTACCTTTGACTCTGCCTCTGGGCTGTATACAGAAACACGCATATTTAACAATTAACACAAAGCCTAACAACAAAATGTAATGAAGTGGTTGTCATATTTTGATCCTTGTTCTGTTTTGCCAACACACAAAGTCCAAACAAACGAACATCTGAGATGATTTGGGGAAGTTCCAGTCTCTCACCTGGTGGGTCTCTGCAGATGTAGCAGCTGTAGCTGTCTGGCACACTGTCCTCATACAGTCCCATACACGTCCCATGCTGCCAGCACAAACACTCATCACACTGCAGAGAGCACAGGACACATCCTTCAGTCTCCCAGACAATTACTGAACATGCATATGAATCTTTAAAATCCTAATGTATCACCTCATTAAATAATTCATTATTCACAAAATAATTCAAGTAATTGTGCCAGTGCTTAATTGATTTAAATTCTGTGCTCAGATTTTTCTTCATACTATAACGACTTCCAGGAAACACAAAACTGACGCCATCGGATGAGAAAAAAAATGAACTGCATTAAGTTGGATGATTGTCTTCTGTAGAGCTCAGCATTTACAGCTGATTCCATATTGTATCAACACTGATACTGAACTGAACTAACATTGATCTGACTTGAGCTGCTGTTCGTTAACAACATTGCTGCCTTTAGTAGAACTGCTTATAGCTGAACTGAACTTGTTTTATAATGATTGATCAGAACTGAATTAACACTGAACAGACCTGAGCAATGATGCTACTGTCTTTCAGAGCTGCTTTACAGCAGAATCTCAATTGTCTCCATAGTTGAGTTTCCATAATTGATTCAATTATTTTCCTGTTTTTATATAAACGTACATTCAGTCGGTATAGAAAAAAATCACCCCCTTTAAAATAATCACATGTTGTTGCTTTGCAGCCTGAAATGAAGACGGACACAGTTTTATCCAGCTGTATTTATTCAGTGCAACTTATAACATCCTAGTGAAAGATATAACACCAACATGACAGGAAAAAATAAAAACAGAATCACTGAGTTGGAAAAAGGATCACCCCCTTGTGTCAGTATTTTGTTGAGCCACCTTTTGCTTTAATTACAGTCTTTAGTCTGTTGGGATTTGTCTCTACTAACTTTGCACATCTAGACTTTGCTTTGCAATATTTGCCCGCTCTTCTTTACAGAACTGCTCAAGTTCAGTTTTAAATGTGATGGTGAGCTTTTGTGGACTGTAGTCTTCAAGTCATTCCACAGATTTTCATTGGGGTTTAAGTCTGGGCTCTGACTAGGCCATGCAAGGACATTCACCTTTTTCTCCTTCAAACACTGTGTGCTCAGGTTTGCTCTGTGCTTTGGGTCATTTTCATGTTGGAAGGTAAACCTTCTTCCCATTGACAACTTTCTGGCAGAGGGCAGCAGATTTTCCTCAAGAATTTGACTGTATTTTTCCCATTCATTTTTCCTTCTATCCTGACAAGTGCTCCAGTCCCTGCTGCAGAGAAACACCCCATAACAGGATATCACCACCTCCATGCTTTACTGGAGGAATGCTGTTATTTGGATATTATTTATTATCCATATAATATTTGGATCATCTGCCTCAGAATCTTGAAGGTGAGTTTTGGCAAAGCACAGTTGCGCATGTGGCCTTTCTTATGGGGTGGCTTTTTTCTTGCAACCCTCCCGAACAAGCCACATTTGTGGAGAATTTGTGATATTGTTGTCACATGCACACAAGGACCACTCTTTGTCAGAAATTCCTGCAGCTGCTTCAGAGTAGCTGTTGGCCTCTTAGTCACCTCTCTGACCTGTTTCCTCTGGCTCTTTCATCCAGTTTGGAGCGACGTCCTGATCCAGGGAAGGTCAGCGTTGTATCAAATACATTCCACTTCTCAATAATAGACTTCATTGTGCTTCTAGACATTGATAAAACCTTTGCATTTTTTTTGTTATCCATCTCCTGACTTGTGCTTGTCCACAACTTTATCCCGGAGATCTTTTGACAGTGCCTTGCCATCCATAGTTGATTGTTTGCTTCAGTTCCACTACCAAGGACTGAAATTGAAAGTCAAATGGCTTTGTGTGCCATTGAGAAGGTTTACAAGTCATTTTTAGGAGGGTGGTGATCCTTTTTCCAACTCAGTGATTCTGTTTTTATTTTTTTTCTGACATGTTTGTGTTTTATCTTTCACTTGGATGTTATAAGTTGCACTGAGTAAATACAGCTGGATAAAACAAAAACTGTCCGTCTTCATTTCAGGCTGCAAAGCAAGAAAATCTGATCATTTTAAAGGGGGTTGATTCTCTTCTAAACCCACTGTGTGTGTATATATATATATATATATATATATATATATATATATATATATACAGTGGGCAGGGAAAGTATT